TATATATAACTGTGTGAATTGCTTTGGCCAGTGCAATGTTACCAGAAGAGACCTGTATCACTCCCAGATAGGACTTTTAAGAATCTGTGCATGGTTTGTCACATTCGCTCTCCCCTGCCTCAGTGTGAACTTGGAAACCTGGATCTAGATGGATCACCTATTAGCTTGGTTCTTGAGTGACCACTATGAACAGAGACCCCTGCCAACCCACACTGGATGTGTAGTGTGAGTGAGAAAGATGTTTTCTTTGGGCTAAGCCACTGAGATGTTGTTTATTATCATAGAACCCAACCTAGACTTTCTGAAACAATTCCCCTCGGGAAAAAATGAAGGATGTTTTTCATCAACCCAGTTATGTTTGCTGAGCCAACAGCTAGTCAGCAGGAAGGGCACATCCCAAAGCAGTCAGCTTGTTTTCATTTATCGTCTGTATCCCCCAGGCCCTTGACATCTGACAAGCAATTTCTTTTGTATCCTCCCAGAGGGAGAATTATTTTGTTTGGCAGATGGTTAAAGTTAGTCCTAGTTGGTATCTGGCCAGCTAATCCTGCCTACAGCCCTGGGAGCATGTCCACTTAGGGCAAAGAGGAGGCATGGCCGGGTCAGATCCTTCTGCCCTGCCTGTGCCACTTTGGGTCACCATGAGAATGATATCACCGAGGAAGGCTGGGGCTTTTGGTGTTCCAGATACCTACAGCATCTGGTTTGGGGTGTCCATGTAATATGTCAGGAGGCAGAATGGCAAAGAAAGGAAGAGTCTGGGCTCTGTGGTCAGACAGGTTCAAATTTAAATCCAGCCTCCACATCTTCCTGGCTCTGGGACTTTGGGCAAAGTCACCTCTCTGAGCCTCAGTTTTCTCAGCTGAGAAATGCAGGTTCAGTAGTGTTCATTTCACTGGGCTGTTGTTAGACTGTGGATATAAAATGTGTAGCCTAGCACCCAGTCCTTGGAAGGTGGTGATCATGATGGTACCAAAGCTGATGACCTGGATTCTAATCTTGTCTCCTGTGGACATTGGCTGAGTCAATGATTTGTAAGAGCCCTTGTATTTCTAATGCCTATCATGTCTTGCCTATGATTTCAAAACTGAGAAAGTATAAATTTTCTACATAAGGGTCACTGAAGACATTTTTTAAAAAATCAGACTCTTTATGGACAACTGGGTGGCTCAGTCATTGGGCGCCTGCCTTCGGCTCGGGTCATGATCCCAGGGTTCTGGGATCGAGCCTCGAATCAGGTTCCTTGCTCGGCAGGAAGCCTGCTTCTCCCTCTCCCACTCCCTCTGCTTGTATTCCCTCTCTCGCTGTATCTCTCTCTGTCAAATAAAATCAGACTCTTTAAAAAATTAATATCCAGGTAATTCATATTTTCGCTATAGAACAAATAGGAAAACAAAACTCTACTACCAATTTGGCCTTAGGTAGGCTCCTGCGTCTCTGGCCTGTTTCCTCATCTGTATAATAAGGAGATTGGGCTAGAAGCCATTTTAGGCCCTGTTCACTTTGATTGGTTGCGATCTGCTTATAATGACACATAGGGGCCTTTGCCTCTCCCTGACCCTCATCTACTTTATCTTCAACTCCAGGTCTTAGGTTCTGATATCTGGTATTTACTTTATGTTTTTAATACTGCGCAATTTCTTTTCTTTTTTTCTTTTTTTTTTAAGATTTATTTATTTATTTTGAGAGAGTGAGAAAGAGAGACAGAGAGAGCACATGAGAGGGGAGGGCCAGAGGGAGAAGCAGGTTCCTCGCTTAGCAGGGAGCCTGATGCGGGACTCAATCCCAGGACTCCAGGATCATGACCTTAGCCGAAGGCAGTCGCCCAACCAACTGAGCCACCCAGGCGCCCAGTACTGCGCAATTTCTTGAAATATCAAAATTTTAAGAGATTTTATTTGAGAGAGAGCGAGAGAGAGGGCATGAGCAGGTGGAGGAGCAGAGGGAGAGGGAGATAATCTCCAGCAGAATCCATGCTGAGTGCCAAGCCCAACGCAGGCTCAATCCCAGGACCCTGAGATCATGCATGACCTGAGCCAAAACCAAGAGCCGGATGCTTAAACCAACTGAGCTACCGAGGCACCCCGTTGATATTTTTTTTAAAGACTTTATTTTGAAGTAATTTTATTTTATTTTTTTCTAAGATTTTATTTTTATGGGGTGCCTGGGTGGCTCAGATGGTTAAGTGTCTGCCTTTGGCTCAGGTCATGATCTCAGGGTCCTGGGATCGAGTCCCACATCGGGCTCCCTGCTGAGTGGGGAGTCTGCTGCTTCCTCTCCCTCTGCCCCTCCCCCTGCTCATGCTCTCTCTTTGTATCTCTGTTTCAAATGAATAAATAAAATTTTTTTGTTAATAAAATCTTTAAAAAAAAGATTTTATTTTTAGATAATCTCTATATCCAACATGGACCTTGAACTCACAACCCCGAGATCAAGAGTCAAATGCTCCAGGCGCCTGGGTGGCTTAGTTGGTTGGGCAACTGCCTTCGGCTCGGGTCATGGTCCTGGAGTCCTGGGATCAAGTCCCGCATCAGGCTCCCTGCTCGGCGGGGAGTCTGCTTCTCCCTCTGACCCCCTTCCCTCTCGTGCTGTCTCTCATTCTCTCTCTCTCAAATAAATAAATAAAAAATCTTTAAAAAAAAAAAAATCAAATGCTCCAATGACTGAGCCAGCAGGTGCCACCCCTCCTTTATTTTTTTTAAGATTTTATATTTTGAAGTAATTTTTTTTTTTAAAGATTTTATCTATTTGACAGAGAGAGACACAGCGAGAGAGAGAACACAAGCAGGGGGAGTGGGGGAGGGAGAAGCAGGCTTCCCACTGAGCAGGGAGCCCGGTGCGGGGCTCGATCCCAGGACCCTGGGATCATGACCTGAGCCGAAGGCAGATGCTTAACAACTGAGCCACCCAGGCGCCCTGAAGTTATTTTTTTTTAAAGATTTTATTTATTTATTTGACAGAGAAAGAGCGAGAGAGGGAACACAAGCAGGGGGAGTGGGAGAGGGAGAAGCAGGCTTCCCGCTGAGCAGGGAGCCCGATGTGGGCTTGATCTCAGAACCCTGGGATCAAGACCTGAGCTGAAGGCAGATGCTTAACAACTGAGCCACCCAGGTGCCCCTATTTTGAAGAATTTTAAATTTAATGAAAAGTTGCAAAGACAGCATAGTAAGTTCCTGAATACCCTCACCCCATTCCTTGTAATATTCACGTCTGGATGATAATGGAAACATTTGTCAGAACAACAACAAAAAAAGATTAATATTGATATATAACTCTTAATTGAATGACAGACTGCATTTGGAGTTCATTGCTTTTTCCACTAATGTTCTAGGATTCAGTGTAGGTTACCACATTGCACTGAGTCATCATATCTCCTTAGTCTCCTCTATTCTGGTAGTTTCTCAGTCCTTTATCAATTTTAAGCATTTTCTCCAGACTGGTATGAGAGATTGGTGTTTTTGATTATTACACACTCCATTTTCCCTTTTCCCATCTTTCCCTTAAATTTATCTTACTTTTTGGTATAATCTGTATTCATTGCTTTTGTTATTTTGTTATTTTTTATTTTTTAAGATTTTTATTTATTCATTTGAGAGAGAAAGAGCACAAGCAGGTGGAGAGGCAGAGGGAGAGGGAGAAGCTGACTCCCCGCTGAGCCCGGAGCCCAATATGGGGCTCAATCCTAGGACCCTGAGATCATGACCCGAGCTGAAGGCAGACGCTCAACCATCTGAGCCATCCAGGCGCCCCTACTTTTGTTATTTTTTAAAAGATTTATTTATTTATTTGAGAGAGAATGGGGGAGGGGAGGAGAGGGGCAAAGAGAGTCCCAAGTAGACCATTTGGTTTCTAACATAGTTACCAGCCCCCCTCAGTCACTACATTATTCAGAACTCTTCCAGTTGCATATGACAGAGCCATATCCTAAATGAGCTTTGGCAAAACTTTATCAGCTCAAAGAATGGTCAATAAGCCACGGAAAGGAACATCAGGATCAAGGACCTGAAGTCTACAATGACTTTCTAGGGATCTTGTCTCTGTCCATCTCTCTCTCTCACAAACTAACTTTTCCACAAGGATGGAAAAATGGTGGCCCATAGCTACTGATTCCCTTATCCACCTACCCCCCACAAGGAGAAAACTGACAGCCAATCTGGTCCCAAGTTTGAAATCCCAGGAAGAGTTCTCATTGGCTCATCTGGAGTCAGGTGGCCATTCTTGGACCAATCACCAGTGACCGGTGGTATAGGGCAATTAGAAAACATGGTGGCTCTGAGGGCAGGCAGGGAAAGAAGTAATTCCCAGGAAAAGTGCTAAAAGCAAACGCAAAGTTGGAAACCACACAAGAATTTTATAGTAAAGACCCCACATAAATCCCACAAGAACAATACAGCTTTCAAAATCATCTCTGGAGAAGTATGTTGGAGTCCAATTAAGTGAATACTGACAGATCATTCCCAATGGTAGTGACTATAGTCTTCACTACAGGTGAATTAGCAACATATGGCCCCTCAATCAGAGGGCTCATCCCTCCTTACAAAAGAGGACATAGTAGAGCTCTATAGATTAATATCCATAGGACCTCACCCATTCTCAGGCTTCAGTGTGCATCAGAATCAAGTGGAAGTTGGTAAAGCATGTACTTTCCCAGGCCTGCCCCTCAGATTTTGATTCAATGGTCTAAGGTAGAATCAAGGAGTCTGGATTTCTATGTGGCTCCCAGATAATGCTAATGTAGGTGATCCATGGACCACGCTGAGAAACCATGCACCAGGCCACCTATGTACAAAATCACAAAGATAAAGCACATAGCACATTGCCTGGCACATGGTTTGTGTCCTGGAAATAGCCCAAGAGAGGCCATGTTAAGTGGTCCCATACCTGCACGAGACCTCATGCTCACTCAGTCCTCTGCTGTCTTGAGTGTGACATTTAGACTTCCCCTCACCCTGTCCCCCAGCCTGCCTGGGAGAAGAGAATAACAGCAGAAACATTTTCATTTTATAAGCACTTGGTTTTATTGCACAGAAGCAATTGAAAGTGGACTCCAGTGGAAAAGTGGGCCCTGGCATGATTCAGTGGCCAGTGCCCTGACCCACCTGCTCCAGCTCTTCCAGGATAGAGAGCTCTGGGCAAGGGCTCGGCCACTCCTTTGGAAAACAGAAGGCATTCAGGAATAGGTTAAGACATCTCAAGCATAATGTGTTTCTAACTGCTGATTCATTATTGCGGTCATCTGTCAATTGCACATACGGGTAATAAATGCACTTATTTGGAAAGGAGGGGGTCAGTTTTTATAGTCAAGTGTTTACATGTGGCATTCAGCATATATCACATTCAGCTACATAAGCTATCATAACATAATTGTCCATTGCCTGGGGAGGGTTTGGGGTCTAGGGCCAGGGACTGGGAATACCCTCTCTTGCTAACATATTGCTAATATAAATTCCTGTTTGGTGAAGGAGCGTTCCATCATTTAAGCAGAGTTTCTTCTTATATAAAGAAAAGGGATTTTCTTTATATAAGAAGAGAGAGAAAACAATGAAAATTTGTTATGTTGACCCTTGAGCTCCCTGGCCCTCCTGAGTTTCTTTGGCTGTTCTGGATAGTCCTTTCTCCCTGCCTTACTTCTCTGCCTTGGAAGCCTTGTCTTCTGTGGCCTTCTCTGGAGGTCTGCTGTCTTTCTGGTCTGTGCTAGAGGATTTCTCAGCCTTTTCTGTCTTGGCTTTGCCAGGTGTGGGGGCCTCCTTGCTGGGCTCTTCTTTGGCTTGGGCCTCTGCTTTGGGTTTCTCCTCAGGCTTCTTGGCCTCCTTGACATCTTTTTTCTCAGGTGCTGCCGGTGTCTCTTCCTTCTTTGGTTTTTCTGGCTCCTTTCCTGCTGCTTTGCTGGGTTCTTTGGCCTTGGCATCATCTTGCTCCTTCTTGGCCACCTCAGACTTCTCTTTGGGTTTGGCCTCTTCCTTCACCTTGGCAGGAGCCTCCTTCTCTGGGGTCACTGCTTTTTTCTTATCTTCAGCCTCTTTCTTGGCTTCAACTTTGGATTCTTTGGGTTTCTCCACAGCAGGTTCCTTCTTTTCCTGGACCTCAGGTTTTGGAGCCTCCTTTGGCAACTCATCTTTCTTGCTGTCCTTCTTCTCCTCAGTTTTTGGTGTGGCTGGAGCTTTCTCTTCCTCTACCTTCTTTGGGGGCTCTTTGACTTTCACTTCCTGGGGTTTCTCTTCCTCCTTTATGGGGGACTTTGCCTCTTCCTTCTTTGTGACCTCTTTCTCAGGAGCCTTGGTCTCTTCTTTCATAGGAGATTTGACCTTCTCTGGAGACTTGACCTCCTCCTTGACAGGGCTTTTTGCCTTTTCGGGAGATTTGATGTCTGCAGGGGACCTTACTTCCTCCTTTGCTGGAGTCTTGGCTTCTGGAGACTTCGCATCAAGAGTCTTAGCCTTCTCAGGAGACTTAGCCTCTTCCTTCACTGGGGATTTGGCCTTCTCAGGGGACTTGGCCTTCTCTGGGGACTTGGCCTCCTCCTTCACTGGGGACTTGGCCTTCTCTGGGGACTTGGCCTCCTCCTTCACTGGGGATTTGGCCTTCTCAGGGGACTTGGCCTCTTCCTTCACTGGGGACTTGGCCTTCTCTGGGGACTTGGCCTCTTCCTTCACTGGAGACTTGGCCTTCTCTGGGGACTTGGCCTCTTCCTTCACTGGGGACTTGGCCTTCTCTGGGGACTTGGCCTCTTCCTTCACTGGGGACTTGGCCTTCTCAGGGGACTTGGCCTCTTCCTTCACTGGGGATTTGGCCTTCTCTGGGGACTTGGCCTCCTCCTTCACTGGGGACTTGGCCTTCTCTGGGGACTTGGCCTCCTCCTTCACTGGGGACTTGGCCTTCTCAGGGGACTTGGCCTCTTCCTTCACTGGGGATTTGGCCTTCTCTGGGGACTTGGCCTCCTCCTTCACTGGGGACTTGGCCTTCTCTGGGGACTTGGCCTTCTCCGGGGACTTGGCCTCTTCCTTCACTGGAGACTTGGCCTTTTCGGGGGACTTGGCCTCCACTGGGGACTTTGCTTCTTCCTTAGCTGGGGACTTGGCCTTCTCTGGGGACTTCACCTCAGTCGGAGATTTTGCTGCTTCTTTCACAGGGGATTTAGCTTTCTCAGGGGACTTCACCTCAGCTGGAGATTTGGCCTCTTCCTTCACTGGGGACTTGGCCTCAGTTGGTGATTTTGCTTCTTCTTTCATGGGGGACTTAGCCTTTTCTGGGGACTTGGCCTCTTCCTTCACTGGGGACTTGGCTCCAACTGGTGACTTGGCCTCTTCCTTCGCTGGAGATGCAGCCTCTTCTGCTGGGGGAGACTTCGTTTCTTCTTCTCCCCCTTCTGCTTCCTCCTCCTCACCTTTCTCCTCTTTGGCCTCTTTCTCTTCTTCTTCAGTCACTTCTTCAGTCACTTGGATCTCCTCTGTCTGTTCCTCCAAAATCACGGTTTCCTTCTCTGACTTTTCAACCACCTTGATCTTCTCTTCGCTTTTGACCTTTATGTGTGTGGATATAGAAGGGATTTTGGGAAGTCCTTCTGGAAGAGAGAAAGGACTGGGGCCAAAGCCAATTCGACATTCTTCGCCCTCCAGGAGTTTTCTGCGGAATGGATAATGGAACACATTACTATTATTAACTAAGAGCAGACTGATGAGTTGGGGGTCTTCTTGAGTTACTCTGAAGATCCACAGAATCCAATAATATGGACTTTGGTGGAGGAAGGAATGTGAATGGTGGGCACTTTGAACCTGGAAAAAGTCACTTAGCAAATCATCCCAGGGACCACCCAGAATCTGTACCCCAATGGCACTGCTCTTGTTTTATGCGGCTAAGGCTGCAAGTTATAAAACAACTCCCCCACCTCAAAATGGCCCTCAAGAGAGAACACCTCTATTAACAAAAATTACATTAACTGTCCCTCAACTAAAATGTTCAAATGGAGGGTGGGAGTCTGAGCAAACAACTCCACACTTATAAATTTGGGATTAAGAGGTCTTATACTATTCCCATTGGAATTTCAAGGGTCTCCGGTCACTTTATATTCTCATCCTTTGAGTTTTAGGAATAGGGTGGGGGCAGCAGTGTCTATCTACTCTTTCCTACTCAGTAGGTATGTGACCTCAGCCAAGCCACTCAAACTCTTCAAGTCTGTTTCTTCAGTGGGAAAAAGAGGGTCATAAGAGTCCCTACCTCAGAGGGTTGTTTCAGTAAGATAATGAATAAAAAGGACCTGGCAGTGCCCGACTCACAGTAGGTGTAGGGGTTACCCCTAGAGACCAGTGCTTTGCAAATTTAACAGCATACAAATCCCCCAGGGATCTGGTTAAAATGCAGATTCTGATTCAGTAGATCTGGGGTAGGGCCTGAGAATCTGCCCTTCCAACATGCTTATGAAGATGCCAACTGTGCGGTTCACGGACCACACTCTGAGCAGCAAGATTATAGACTAGACCCAAGAGGTGGGATGTGAAGAGTCACCTGCCAGCAACTGGGACAGATCTTCACTGGGTCAGCCTGCTCCTCAGCAAGAAATTGCTAAGCTGGGAGGTCTCATGGGCTTCTCTTGGCTACCATTTACTGCAGGCTTTCTCTATGGCAGCCCAGCCGTACCTGGATGTGCTCCGGAACTGGATTAGTTCCTCCTTCCCCACAACCCTGTGACAGGAGTACTGTTATCATCTCCATTTTATTTCCCCAGGAAACAAAAGCTCAGGGAGCCAAAAAACCCTAAGAGAGTTGTCAACATCCCTGACAACTCAGGTACCTCCTTTCCCTCCCAAAGCAGGCCTCTAGCTGGCTGGAGTCACTGGCAGAATGAAAAGAAGGCACTCTCAAGACTTTTGAGAAATTCAGAAAGTAGAGTGATGGTTGCCAGGGCCAGAGGAAAGGAGGAAAGGAGAGTGGGAAGTAATTCTTTAGTGAGCACAGGGTTTCAGTTTGGAAAGATGAAAAAAGTTCTAGAGATAGATGGTGGTGATGGTTGCACAACAACGTAAATGTACTCACTGCCACTGAATGGTATACTTAAAAATGGTTAAATAGCAAATTTTATATCATATACATTTTACCACAATAAAAAAAAATTATTTTTTGTCTCTGAGACAGGCAGGTCGCCTTGCTGGGAACTTGAAACTCAGTGCTAAGCTTCTCATAAGAATGCAAGGGCTCCCCACCATCCCAAAAGCCCCCCGGCCCACCTCACCTGTAAGCGGCAATCTCAATATCCAGAGCCATCTTGACATTGAGCAGGTCCTGGTACTCTCGGAGCTGGGCTGCCATCTCCCACTTGGTGTTCCTCAGCTCAGCATCTAGCTGCTGGATGGCCTCCTGGGGAGGAGAGGTCACACACACGTCACACACCAGTCAGTGCCTGGCCCTCAGCACTGGAGAAGCTAGGGCACACCATGGAAACCCGAAGCAGTCCCATCTAGCCAGGCTCACTGGGGCCAACACCCACACTGCCAAAGCTGTGGGAGCCTCATTTGTGGCCATGGAAACCACTTGGAGCAAAAATCCTGCTGTGTGTGCATTCGACCTCAGCCTGGGGACTGCTTTAGAATAAAACACACCAGCCACCAACAATGGTTATCACTGGTCAGTGGGATGACGGGTGAAGTGTCACAGATCTCTTAAACTTAGAAAATGCTCTGCAGGAACAGAGCCCTGTCTGCTTTGGCTCCTGATGCTCCCAAGTGCCTGCCGCACAGTAAGGGCTGAAGAAGCACCTGCAGCCGAGGACGGAAGCCGTACACAGAAGCCTGCTAAATAGCAGTGGAAGCTTCTTCCCTGTCCCCAGGCTCACTGAGCCACTGCTGAAAGTGAACCATTATGGCTGATTTTTATTGCCTCCTTTTTGCTTTCTTCATTTCCTAATTTGTCCACAGTCACCACATATTAACTTGCATAATAAGTTCTTTAAAAGTGTTATCTTCTTTTGCCAGCTGTCTTTAATGGAAGGAATCTGCCAAGGCCTTCCCCAGGCTACCCACGCTCACAGACGCTGGTTATGGTTTACCAAATGCCCACTGTGACCCAGACCCTGCTGACAGCAGGCTCACACTCATCTCATGAAAAGTCTGTCCATCTCTTTAGCCTTCACAGCTCTGCAACGTGGACATTCTTCCCGCCCCCCCGCCCCACATTGCACTGGAGGAATTCAGATTCAGAGAGGCAGATAACTTTCCTGGGGCCACTCAGCTAGAAAGACATACTGGTACCCATTGCATGTCTGACTCCAGGCCCACGGTCTTCACCACCACAGCCTTGCTGAGAGAGGGGCAGTGACTTGTCCAGGATCACCCCACCAGGGAAGGTAGTCTGGCTCTCTGCCCCATCCCTGCGCACCTGGTAGGATGCGATGTCAGCCTGATGACGGTCCTCCAGCTCAGAGCGCTGCCTCTCTAGTGAGTCCTTGGTGCCTTTAAGAGCCTCCAGCTCTGTGGTCCTGGCCTGTAGCTGGCGGCGATACTCTGTTATCTCCTCCTGTGCTGAGCGCATGGCATCTGTGTTCACCTTGGCTGCCTCTGATAGTCGGTCCAGCCTCACTGGGGGAGAAGGAGACAGGGCACAGAGTTTGACACACCTGGATTTGGATTCTAGTGCCCAGATCCCAAAGGTGACACACATCGGTTGAAGACCTACTGAGTGCCTGGTGCCATCTTGGATTCTTAACATACCCTCTCCTTTGTGATAGGCAAATTACTACTGTCCAAGTCCAGCTAGGAATAAGCAGCAGATTCCAATCTGGTATCTATCTGGTTCCAAAAAATGAGACTGCCTCTCCCAGTTCAGGATCTGAAATCCCACAGGACAGAGGAAGCCCCCATTTCTGGTCCTAATACCTGGCTCAGCTCCCCAGCAAGGGCTGGCAGTGCTGGGGATTCAGACGTAAAACTTGGCCAACAGGGCTTACCTCTGACCTTCTGGCTGATCCAGTTAATGAGTTGCGTGACCTTTGGAGGCATGAAGGTGCTGTGAGCCACTGTGTAGCCATAGCCCCTTCCTTGTAGGTTTTGACGTAGAGCCCAACGTCACTGCAGAGCCTGGGGCCCACGTGCCAGCGTCTCTGTCCCTTCCCCCACCTGGCTGTGCATTCTCTAGCACAGGAGTCCTTGTGTCAATGGCAGCCACACCCTGGCTCCTGTGAGCAATGGGCTGCTGGTTCCCAGAATATCTTCTAGGACCACTGGAGTTCTGGAGACTATTCTACATCTCCTGAAAGTGAATATCGTGAATCCCAAGATAGTAAAACCCAGGGCCTGAGTCTTGGGAGGGTGAAGAGCGGGTAAGGGAAGCCAGGTGGGTGGGCCAGAAGTCCTGGGATGGTTTGTCTGTGTAAGGGACAAAGCCCAAGAGAGCAGAGAGGTTTGCTCTGGGAGGAGTCTTGCTGCAGAGATGGGGGAGGAGAAGGGATTGCCACTGCAAAGAAGAGGAAAAGTAATAGGGAAAACCATGCATGAGTCCCAGCTTTCCTGGCTTTCCCTGCTAGTGTTGGCAAAGACTTAGAAACCATCAAGGTGGGTGAGGATTCTTACCCATGTGGACCACAGACCTGTCTGAAAAATCGCTGGAGCCTCTGCACCCTCTCCCAAGGAAAATGCAAGTTTTACACAGTTTCAGGAAGGATCACGTTGCTCCCCCTGAGTAAGAAGCTCAGCTGGTCAACCCCCTCCCCTCTCAACCCCCAAAGAAATGAAAACCAGAGAAGGCAAGGCTTGCCCAAGGTCACCCTGCAGCTGCTGGGCACAGCTTCAGAGCTGCTGCAGCTGCAATCTAGCTGACTCAGAGCAGCACGGAGTTGGAGGAGGGGGGAGCTTGAGAAGCTTCCAGCTTCTCAAGAGGAGAGAGGACATTAAGGGGCCACCTCAGCCTCATGCACCCATTGGTTGGGGTGATGATATCTCCCGGGGAGGAAAGGATGTGAGAATGCCCCACTGGGGAGGAGCCTGATAGGGGTCTGGAGAATGAGGTCCCCTGCAGAGTGCAGGCAAGGGGCATGAATACAGTGTTGGGCAGGGAAGGCATGTTACTTTGAAGGTCAAAGGGTCCCCAGTGCCTGTAACTAGAAGCTGGCACTGCTTTGGAACTGTAGAAGGAACCTGATGGAAAGGGGCCCTCGGAGTGGGGTTACCTAATCTTGGGCGGGGGCAACAGAGGGGACCCAGAGTCGCAGGACAGATAAAAGGACCCTGGAGGAGGGCAGCCAAAGGACAACCCGGAATTTCAAGGAAGGGAGAGGGTGTCTCCAGAGACCCGGGGTGAAACTGTTATTTAACGAAGGGGAATGCGCTTTGCGGGGGGGAAGCTGAACAGCACACCCTCCCGCCCAGCCACCTGCCCACAGAGTGCACCCGGCCCGGCCAGGAGGGGGCGCCCCCTCCCCCACGCGCCTACGAACCTCGGAACCACTCCTCCGACTGCAGTGTGCTCTGCACCGCGTGGCCTTCAAGTTGCGCGCGGATCTCGCGCAGCGCCGACGTCACGTCGCACTTCAGGGCGTCGCGCGCCTCGGCCTGCGCCTGCGCTTGCACGGCGCCGCAGCCCTGGATCTGGCCGAGCAGCTCACCCACTTCCTCCTGGTGGTGACGCCGCAGGTAGCCGCACTCTTCCTGCAGCGCCTGCGCCTTCTTCTGCAGCTCGACGCGCGCCGCCTCAGCCTCCTGCGCAAAGCGCGCGAGTGCTCGCGCCGCCGCCTCGGCCTCCTCCCGCTGCCTGGCCTCGTCGTCTAGGCGCTGGCGCACGTGTGCGATGTCTTCGAGCAGGTGCTCCTGCTCCAGGCGCAGCTGGCCGCGCGCCGCGCCCAGGCGCAGCACAGCGCCGCGCATCTCGCGCACCTCGCGCTCGTACAGCTCGCCCATGGCGGCGCGGCCAGCGTGCTGCTGCCGCAGGGCCGCCGCCTCGCCTTCCAGGCTGCGGTTGTGAGCCTCGAGCTGCCGCACCTTGTCGATGTAGCCTGCGAAACGGTCGTTCAGCGCCTGCAGCTGCTCCTTCTCGCTGCGGGCCGCTGCTGCTGCCACCACGCAGCCCTCCGGTCCGTTGCTCAGCGTGTCTAGCGAGTCGGTGCTTGAGGTGGCTGCTGCGCCGCGGAAGCGGCCCGGGGAGGCCGACACGGAGCTCACGGATGTCCGCGCCCAGGAGTGGAAGCCACTGGATGAACCGGCAGCAGAGCGCGCTCCGCCCGCGCCGCCCTTGCGGGCCAGCGCGTAGTGCAGGCTGCCGCCTCCATGTAGCGGCGCGAACGGGGCGCCCAGCAGCGCGTCCGCGCCGCTGAAGCTCATCATGGCCGGAGCAGGTGCGGCCGCCGGCGGAGGGGAATACCCAAGGCCAGGACGGGGCGGGCGGCACTGCGGCAGTACGGGGGATGCCGGCCTTTTTATAGCAGCCCGGTCGGGTCCAGCCCCTTGGCAGTGGGGGGGAGGGGGCAGGGGAGGAGGGCCCCGCCCTCTCTGCCTCCTCCCCCGCTGCCCGGGCCCGGGCGCTCCGCCGCAGTGAGAGGGGCGGGGCAGGGGGGACTCAGGAGTGAAGGGGAATCGACGCGGCGTCAGTGGAGCACCCCAAGGTCGGGTGAGGGGGTAGAGGACTCCCGGAGTGGAACGGCGGGGACCCCTGGGTGCGAGTCAGAAGACACTGCTACTGTGTTCGGAAATAGAGAAGGGGCCCGAAATAGGGAGAGGACAAGGAGTCCTGGTGGGAATAAGGGCAGGGTGCCTTTGGGATGGAGCGATGAATGACTCTGTAGTCAGTAGGATGAGGAGGCCCTTGAATGAGAGGGGGGCACAAGATTTTCCTGAAAGTTAGAGAGGACCTCAGGATAGGGGGTGCAGCGTGTCTGGAGCCAGCCCGGAATAGGGAAGGGAGCAAAGTAATCCTAAACGGACTCATGGTGTATGCTACAGAAGGTAGAGATAGAAGACTCCTGAATGGAGTTACTCTTTCCTAATAGCTAGGAAGCTGCCAGGAGGAAATGCAGCCGACTGCGGGATAGGGGAGGGGGACTTGGAGTTGGGAAGGGCGGCAAGGCTACTCTGAATTGGGGGTATGGGAGACCCCTCAGAGGATGGAGAGAGGGAAACCAGGATGGGAGACACAGTGGTCTCTGCAGTATAGGAGGGGAGAGACACAGCTGGCCCCAGCAAGGAGGGCCCTCAGTGAAGGAGGCAGAGGGTCCCCTGAATAGGCAAGAGGAATGTGGGCTGTGTGAGGGTCAGAGAACCCAGAGTGGGGGTTCTGTGGGGACTGGGCATGAAGTTGGGGGAGCTAGCGCCTGTGTGGGGTGGGGGGAGGTGACAGGTGTCCTAGGAACAGGCCAGGGTCTACACTCTGAGGTCAGCTCCACAGTTACCTGGCCAAATGACCTTGGACAAGATGTGTCCCCACCCCCCTGGTTTTCCCATCTGTACCAAGAGGGGTCTTGCCCTGAGATAGGCGGCAACTAAAGACCCCCCAGCAGCTTCTGCTTTGGGGGAGTCTATGGCTGAACTAGGGAAGGGAAGCCCATATACTGCCCATGGACGCGGCAGCTAATTTCCCACAACTAGGAAGTCCTTTTTTCTCCCTCTTTCCTCTTCATTTCCTCCACTTTGACTTGTCATCTCTCCCTCAACCCCCACAACAGAGAAGTGGGTGCAGTGATAGGCATCCCTTCTAGTCCCCAGTGAAGTGGTGGGATGCTTTCAGGACACCAAAATCCCTTACCACCACAATCCCTAATGAGGGGTCAGATAGAAAAGGGGGTCCCTGGGATTTGGTGTGCTCTGCAACTGTTGGTGTTATATCACTTTTTCTTGGACTTTCATTCTCGTATGAAATGCCTTGGGAGTGGGGGAGGGCTGTGTCTGGTGCTTCAGCACCGAGGACAGGGCCTGCTCCTCGTGGAGAGAAAGGGGTTAATCTCTGCCTTTACCGTGGAGGGAGAGAGGAGGGAGGTATGCATATGTGCTATGCAGATGGAAACTGAGGAGGGGGTGATGAGTGATCCCACAGGATTACTCTGGGAGGCGGGGACCCAGCCCCTCAACCTTCTGGGGGTCCAGTCCCCTGTTTTCTTTGAAGTTCTCTTACATACACACCTGGGCGGTCCTGCTTCTCCTTTGGGAGTTGAAAGGACCCCCACAATCTTTTTCTGGGAAGGAGCCTTGAGACTCCTCTCCCAGATCTGAGACTCCCCTCAGGCAGTTACTCAACCCTACTACACATCCAGTTTATACTGGTTTTCCTTCTGTGGATCCCCAGGATGGGGACAGAGAGATCCCCCCAGAAAAGACCTCTACCAGTTTGTTTCTCCTTGCCCTCTGCCTCATTCCCAGACCCCTGGTTCTAAACAGATCCTCAGAGATGATGAAGTGATGGTGCTGTCCCTTTAACCAGGATTTACTGGAAGGAGAGTGTGCTGGGAGAAGGAAGGAGGGGGAAGGGAGTTTCTGGTTCTGAATGGAGAAGCAGAACATGATGAAGCATTTTTCCCCCCATTTAAAGATCCAGTCATGAGCCAGTTTGCAGGGGGCAGAGGGGCTGGTTTGCAGTCGGTGCTGGGAGGATGGAGGTGAGTGTCTGGTCTGAGGCTTCTGAGAATGGCATCTAGGAGGGCTTGAGCAGGACCTCCATGCTCTCATGTGGCTCCCCATTTCCTTGTCATTCTGCTTGGCATTTTGCCAGTAGAGCCTTGTTCCTTTAGGTCTTTTCAGTCATCTGCATAATGCAGATACATCCTCTGGGTGTAGGATGGCTGATAAGCAGCTGACTGTAAAGGAGAGTGGTGAGAGGAGCTCTGTAAAAGAGGGGTGGGGGCCAGGGGGCCAAGATGAATTCTGTCAAGGTCAGGGGGCCACAACCATGGGATCATAGCTCCCTGTGGATTCCAAGCAAGAAATCCCAAGCATGATTTTTGTGGCTGGAAAAATGACATGAGGGTGGGAGCTTTGAGTTCATTTTCCCAAAGGGCCCTTCTGACTCACTTCCAGGAAGCCATTTCTGGCCTCCTTTGCCCCCACGTTTAGTTAATTATCCCGTCCGAGGTCTCTAGTGCTAATCCACTACACTGCACTTAACCACTCTGTGTTGTCATTGGTTGAATGAATGAGTGAATGGATAAATAAATTCCATCAGTTCTCCAACCAAACTTGTGGTGTAGAGGAAACTAAAAATGGTTCTGTTCTGAGTCCTTGGGTTTCAAATCACTTTTACCTTCCTCCCATCAATTCTTACCATTTGGAAATGAGTAGAATAACATATTTATTCATTTATTCATTCATAGAATAACATATTCATTCATTCATCTATCCATCCATCCATTACATGTTTACTGAGCACCTGCTATGTGATAGTCACACACAAAACACTGAGGTTACAGAATCCCATAAACTTCTAAAATTGTCTCCCTGGGACAAGGATTCTTCCTCCCAAATTCTAGTCCAGTATTTCCCAAGGCACCTTCTTGAGGATAATAAGAGTTCCTCTAAAAAAGGAGAGGAAGAGAGGAGTTTCATGGCCAAAGGAGTTAAATAGGGCTCTTGAAGCAACTCTTGGAGCCTGGACTTGGCAATGAACATTGAAAATCCCCCAAAGGTGAGTGGAGTGTGCTGTGTTGTCCAAACTTATTTGATCATAGGCCCTTCTTGCCCCCAAGTGTCTCCCGTGGTGGCCCACACTGAAGGACCCAGTCAGAATTGGGCTCCAGCCTGTGTTCTCCCTGGGCTGCTATCTGGACTCCTGTGGATCATGTTTGTTTTTCTCATAAAAGACAAAATGAAAGAAAGACGTTCATTAAAAAGGATATAATGAAACATGAAAATAACAGTTTTTTTTAAGTAAGCTCTACATGCAATGTGGGGCTTGAACTCATGACCCCGAGATCTAAAGTTGCACGGTCTCTTGACTGAGCCAGCCAGGCACCCCTGAATAACAAAATTTTAAAGACTATTGCAAAATACATTTTAATACATTTGAATACATTTTAACTGTATGTAGATTTCATGGCAATGCTGTTCAAATAACTGACTTTATTTTGTGGATTGTACTTGCACTTGTCTCAAAATCATTTATTCATAGTATTACACATTTTTTTGGCTTGCTGATTCATCTCATTTAGCATCACACTTTTTCTTTTTTATGCTAAAAATTCTTCCTTCATTAAGACAGGTATCCATTTCCAAATACTAGGATACATATTTGTAACTGAGTTTTGTATTGCATCGTGAAAGCTTTCTCTACACCGTTATTTGATAGACATTCCAAAGGTCTTTAGGAAATGTGGGTTCAAAATTCTGCACCACTATATAGATCATCATAATGGCTACTGTTTATATTATATATGAATGGGAGCACTGTGTCAATGGAGAAATGAAACCAAACTGTCAGGCAGTTGATGAGACCTACAAACTATCAAACCAAACTATCAACCAGTTATTTTTTAATCTTTTAAGGGAAAATTGCCTCACAGCCAATTAGTTATGTGGTGAAAATGCTTGCAGCAAAGAAGCTTATGGCAAAACTATCTAGAATCCCTGTGGACCCCAAGGTTAGTGCTCTTCAGGAACAGGGCTGCAGTGTGAAGGATAAAGCAGTATACAGCTCTCCGTGAACATCAGCCGAACATTGCTGTCACTCACTTCATTCACTCAGCATCTATGGGATTAGACCCTGTGTTGAGCACTGGGGACTCTAACGAATGAGACTTCAATGAGGGGAAATCCTCCCCCACCGCCCACCCCGTATGTGTACAGCAGAGAGAACTCAGCCACCACTTTCTCCTTGGTACCTCCTCAAACCTTGTTCACTAGACAAGGATGATTGTTGCTATTTTATACATGAATAAACTGAGGAAGTAAAGTGAGGAAGGGGGTTGCCTGAGTTGACCCACTGATAAAGCAGAAGTGAGCCCAGTTTCTCAAATCATCCAGGACTAAACTGATGTTGGACACACAGGGTGGAAACTCACTTCTCTGGCACAGTGGACACAGATGGCCTGAGGGTAAAGCAGTGAGATGCACGCAGAGAGGAACAGGTGAGGGTTGGAGTCTGGCCTCCAATGGGTCATCCTTTTTTTTTTTTTTTAATTTTATTTATTTGAGAGAGAGCGCTCGCGCATGAGTGAGGAGAAGGGGCAGTGGGAGAGGGCGAAGCAGACTCCCCATTGAGCAGGGAGCCCCAACACGGGGCTCAATCCCAGGACCCTGAGATCATGACCTGGCCTGAAGGCAGACACCTAACCAACTGAGCCACCAAGGTGCCCCGATGGGTCATCCAACTGAGAGTCCCTGTGACCTGTGACCCAATGTCAGCA